AGGTGACCGTTCGGACCCGCCGCGGCTCCCTTGCTGCCGTCGTTGGTACCGTTGGATCCGGCAAGTCCTCCCTCCTCTCCTCCCTCCTCGGGGAGATGCGACGCATTTCGGGAAAGGTAAAGCCGCTCTGTCATCTTCTTCGCCGCACATCAATCGTTGTCTTTGGTTGACTGTTTTGTTGCTAAGTAGGATTTAGGATTTATGAATCCGAATTTTTGAATTCTTCTAAATACTCGTGTTGATCCAACGAAACTGTTCGGTGTCTTTAATAATAGGATTTAACAGGATTTATTAAATCCTGTTAAGTTTCAGCTTCTCTAAATTCGACCGTTGGGCAGGATTTAGCTGCGCAGTAGTGTTTGGGGGCAGCTCTAATAATAAGCTGATTAAAGATAATTTATTTATAACTCATATGTGGTGGCTATTATAAATTTTTAATTTTTTTGGAAAAGTTAAATTGTTGTCCGAAGTTGTCACCACACTTAAATAATTGCGGTGTGAAAATGCTATTTTCAGAACTGTCAAAACAAATTTTACCCAAAGAAATCAGGTGTGTTTTGAAAACATTACCGCACCAAATAAGCTTGTCAACATTTTTATTAGGTGTACAAGATTTAATAAATCTATTGATTCATATTTTTTGGATTTAACTCATTCTAGATTCAATAAATTCTTATTCACTAGATTTAATAAATCCTAATAATTTAAATTTAATCGGTTGCGAGATAGTCCCTTTGTATTTAGAATGATTAGCAATGTTGGGATTCTAATGATAAAATTATAACATATTAATTAAAAATTAAAAATTTGTAAAATTTAAATTAATTTAATAAAAATATTATTATACTAACTAAAATTCATAATTTTAATATAATCAAACTTAATTATAAATAATTTTGATTAATTTTTTTTAAAATTGTTAGATAATTTAAACCATAATTAGGATAAAATACATCTAAACTAATTACTAAGTAGTAATTTATAAAATTATGAATATTAATTCATATTTAATTCAATTAAATTATAACTATTATTAATAAATTTAAGTTATTAATTTTATTAAACTAATATTAATTGATGGATAACTCCTTTTTTTTTATTAAAATCTTTTTATATTAATAAATTTAAAATTATGAAAATCTATAAAATAAAATAATAAAAACCCCATTAAACTATCACATCTCCGCTCCTTCGAGAGTAGCGAAGCCTGCTCGCTGGAGGTACCTGCGATCATGTTCGCCTCTTCTTCGTTTCGAGTAGAAGTGAGGAAGAGAAGGAGAAAAAGGTTTAAACGAAGAAGAAGCAAAGGTAAAACCCTAGTCGTTTTCCCCACCACCCTTCGCTCGCGTTGATCCGCCTTCCAATGGGATCAGCAAACGTAGGATTTAAAGTTGTCATTTTTGCTGTTTGGTAGGATTTAGGTTAAATCTTACTTAAATCCTTATCAAATCCTATTACTAAACAACTCCTAACTTTTACATAAATTTGAAATTTACAGCAAATGTAGGATTTAAAGTTGTCATTTTTGCGGTTTGGTAGGATATAGGTTAAATCTTACTTAAATCCTTCTCAAATCCTATTACTAAACAACTCCTAACTTTTACAGAATTTTAGTTTGATTAAATCCGTCTCAAACCCTATTACTAAACAACTCGTAAATTATACATAATTTTAGTTTGATTAGATTATATTATTGTTTAATTAACTCAGTAAAATTTTAATTAAAGATAACTAAATTATTATCTCATGTTAATTATGATTTAATTATTTTCATTACATTTGATAAAAAGAATTAATTAAAATCAGAATTATTCAATAAATTATATATATATATATATATAAATATAATATGTATATGTTGTAAATAAGCTGTAATAATAATTATTTATTAATTAAAATTATTAACATGATTAAATTTGTATGATTTCTGCTTTTATTTAACTTAATAAGATTCTTATGCTTAATTATTTTGATAAATTATTAAATAATAATTAATGATGGTTTTAATTAAATAAAGTTTTTATTAATTTTCCTTAATTAACATTAATTTATTTCAAATATACATAAATAAAATCTCAATATCATATAAATTTTAAATTAATTGTATAATCTTCTCTCAGAATTTAACTTGATGCAATACCTCTCACAACTAATTTTTAGAATTGATTTTTGAATAAAGCTGAAAATGTTAGTTAGAAATTTTGTTTTAGATATTTGGATTAAACTTAATTTAAGATATTAGTTATCATTTAAAATTTATAATTTAAAGTCAAGTCCAAAATTCTGAAATTGCATTACAATAAGTGCAAAGCCATAATTATGCTTTCTTGAATAGGAAAATGTTGATTATCAAATTAGAATTTAGACTGGGAAACTAAAAAAGGGTTATCCAGAGATATCTTTTAATCTAAAGTCTAAAATAGTGATAGCTTCTTAATGGCTTTCATCCATGTGTGACATTGCTGCCCTTTTTGAGAATTTATAGACTGCATCAAATTATGGATTGCCTAAATATGGGAGTATAAGCTGAACAGCTGGTATTTAAATATTAAGATATTATTTGAAGTAGTTTGCTATCAAACAGGACAAAAATTAATAGGCCCAATGCTTATGCATTTACATATCTTGAGTAATTAAACTTTACTTTTTAGATTTTTACTGTGAAGGGGAGGTGGTGATGATTTTAAGCAAGGTCTGTTTCACTTGCATTGGAGCTTGCTGATTTTGGCTGTTTTATTCCTTCTCTACAAAAACCCCACCAAACTACATTAATCTTTCCTTAATATTTTTGTTGTTGATGTTAGGTATAGAAATAAACCTTGTACATCGAAAATAAACAAGATAATAATTGTTTTTTTATATCTTAAAGAGAAATTCATCTGTCGTAGCTGTTTCATGATTTATTTAATTATGCAGGAATATATTAATGTAGTCAGAGCAACATATCTATGCTGTTTTCTCCAGCATTTTTCATCAAAATCATAAAAATATTTTTCTCATGTAATGATATGGGCCATATGGCCATCACTTGTTGCATGTGCACCCTAATCTCAGGTTAGGATATGTGGAAGCACAGCTTATGTGGCACAGACAGCATGGATACAGAATGGAACTATTCAGGAAAACATATTGTTTGGTCTGCCCCTGAATGAAGACAAATACAAGGAAGTGATCCGTGTAAGCTGTTTGGAGAAGGACTTGGATATGATGGAGTTTGGGGATCAGACTGAGATTGGAGAGAGAGGAATCAATCTTAGCGGTGGCCAAAAACAACGCATACAACTCGCCAGGGCTGTTTATCAAGATTCTGATATATACCTCCTCGATGATGTCTTCAGTGCTGTCGATGCTCACACGGGCTCAGAGATCTTTAAGGTTTGATTTTACTGATTGTTACTTCACAAGTATATTTAAATTATATATGTTTTTACCTTTTCTTCGAGCCATTATTAAGATGTGATGATGAAGAGATAAACCTCAATTTGTCTTATACTAAAATGATGATTTTATATGCTCCAAGGAACCAAAAGATTAAAATGTGTTTGCTAGGAACCAAGAAAAGTTAACAAGGTTTACTAGCTTAGGATCCAAGGGTCACTCAAGGAGTAAATAGATAAAGATGTGTTTGCAAGGAACAATGACAAGTTAACAAGGTTTACTAGTTTAGGATCCAAGGGTCACTCATTTGAGGTTAAGGGAGTGTTCACCTAGACCAAAGATAAACTCATGGCACGCACCAGGAACTAACTCATCTGAATCACTTGCCCCAACTCGAAATAACATTCATCCTATACCTAGATAAACTCATTGCATGCACCAGGAACTAACTCATCCAAATCACTTGCCCCAACTCGAAATAACATTCATCCTAGCCAATGCATTCTTTCATAGTTGGTCGAAGATGCTTGTTACCAACAAAACCTTACAGACAAATTCATCAACAAGCTGGCATTTCGTTTCCAAGGACCACAACCTCATCCGGCGAGTAATCAACTCCTTCCAATCACATTCCTAAGAGCTGTCCACATTTATTCATTGAAGTTTTCATCATAATATCTACTTGTGTATGACAATCCAATGATTTTTATTTTTTATTCTTTGTAAATTTTAGATGTAGTATCCCTTATAATGCTCAAACGTTATAAATACAAGTTCAAAGAGCTGTTTTGGGGTTTCTATTTTTTGAGTGTTCTTGGGTTAATAATAAGAAACTTCAAATCCTCCTTTCTCCTTGCCTTTTCACCTTTTTATTCTTTTTAAATCATTCCTTTGTTTCCTGCACTGAGAGACCTCACATGTCATGTTAGCAGGGTTCTAACATCATTATAGATATTTTTTTAATTCATCATCAAGTTGATGCCAAGAAAAGGAGCCAAATACAATGAAAACAAGAATAGAGCGAAAAAGATTGGAGCGAAGGAATCATGAAAATGATTCAAATTGCCATGAAGCGAGCTCTTAGTGCCAACCTTTGGGGAAGATGCTTGAAGGCTCATCAGACCCAATAATTTAGAGATAGCCATCAAACACTAGGAAACCAATCTCCTCACCAGTTGTAAATGATACCTATTACTAATTAGGACTATACCATCAACCAAATGAATCAACGGACGAAGTATGTGTTATGACCACTAAAGTAAGACTC